GGGGTTTTGATGTTTGCATATGATGACTTCAGTAGTACTACATGCAGCATAAAAATCCTGAAGCATTTATATTATTTTTAATTTTCTGTTGTACATTTGGTATGTCTAGTTATCCTTCTCTACATAAGATTTTCCACTGTTTTGCAATGCCTATTTCCTTTTACCTTCATGAAAAAGCTGTTAATAAGATTACATTGTCTAGCCCTAATTACGTTAATTTCATTTAAAGCAAATGCAAATATCATTTACCAGTACTGCAGTTACTGGCTTAGTCAGAAAACATTGAAAACTAGTTGTCATAAGGAATCTGTCATCATTTCAAATGTTCAAATGAAAGCTGATGAAACCAGATGCAATTACTTACATCTATAAGGGTGTAATTCACTATTGTTTTGGCTTATGATAAATCAATGTAAAGACCTTTGGACAATAACAAGAGATTATAGGAAGTTTCTAAAGCAGAACTAAAGTAAATTGTTGGTTTGTTGCACAAACATGTACTGCGTACTTTGTAAAGAAAGAGAATGAGTTCTGGGAGGGGATGGTGGCTGGAATCTTCAACCACCTGTATGTACTTTGAAGTTGTCAAAAGTAGAGGTGTTCTTGACTCTTTGTTTTTTGGATGTTTAACACAGCAGATCTTTTGAGAAACTTAGAGGTCGGGGATATAGTATATTTCTTAAAAATTTTCAGCATCATCTGAATCATGTTGGTAGCTCTATTAGCCCCTGCAGTGTCCTGACAAGGAAGGCAAAAGGATTTTTTATTTGTGGTTTCACTCTTCCTCCCCCTTCCCCTTGCCTGTGTATTCTGAGACAGAGTAAGTGTATTGACTTAAGCATGGTTGAAGTCTTGTCTGTTTTATCCCTTTGCACTGAATTCTGGTGTCTAAGGAGCTATGTATAATTTATTCAATTTATTTATAAAATTGTGTGAGTTACTTTCAGGCAAGCTTAGTAATCAAAGCCAATGGAATGTCTAACCCCTTTGACAATAAAAATAACCTTTCTCAGATGGAAGGGGTCACATAAATGTCTCTGACTTTTTTTCTAGGTGATAGACTACACTCACCTGTGAGTTTCTGAAAGAACCTACAACTTCTGCTCCACAGCAATATGCTGTTGAGTTGCCAATCTCCTCAGTGCGGTATCAAAAGTGTTAGTTGTGTCCTCTGTGGCTGGACCACATTATAGGTTAATGTTTTCGTTGAAAAGGTGGACACCTGTATTGGGATGTAGAAGTCCAAGAAAACAGTAAGCATGAAGTATTGTATATAGTTGCCTAGTAGCATGAATACAACAAGAGCAAAGTAAGATTCCTCTTGCAGACAAAACCTTTTCCCATATTGCATGTGATGTGCTTTCATGTACCCAAGCATACCTCATCCCCAGGCATTTCACGTCTAGCAACTGATTGAATTTTGCCTTTATGTACTCTTAAAATATAAAAACTGACACACCAGTTTGTGTTAGTCTTTGTTTCACATAGCTTAAGATGTACTGCTCCCTTTTGTAAACTTGGGCTTTCCGTAGCCCCCAGTTTCCCACAGCATTGCTACTGAATGTTTTTCTGGGCTTAAAATGGTAAGGAGGGATGAGACCAGGAGTACTCAGTGTGGTAGTGACAGCTTAGGAAAGGTGGTGTCTCTATCCTTTGGCAACCAAAAAGCTGTCCTGTGTTGTAAACCCTTGGTCTCCTGCTATGCAGAAAGCCGTGCCTTTGCCTATTCTATATTTTTGTTTTTTCCTCCGTGATACTGGAACTGATGGTTAACTGAAATAACTCTCAGGCTTGTGCTCTTCCCTCAGCTGCCTTTGGTGGATGGTATATCAGGGTATGGCTGTTTACTTATAAAACTTCAGGCACTCATCCAAGATTATTAGCTTTAGTAAGAATTAAGGGCAGTAGTTCTATTTTAAAGTTACAGCCAAGCGCAAAATTTTGCATCACTATTAAATATTGTCCCTGCTCAATAAACCTTTTGAGTATGTGTTGGAATCTGAAGCATGTGCTTAACTGCTTTGCTGAATTGGGGCCTTCATTACCAAATTGCAGGTGTATGTTAGCTTAAGTATTTAAGGAAAAAAAAAAAGGTAAAACAATGCTTATTTTGTTCCATTCAGTGTAGTTTGTTACATTAATGGAAAACATCAGAAATGCTGTGCTGTTGCTATGCTGTCTGAAACAGATTTAATATAGTTAATGGCTTGAGTGTTCAGTATTAGATAGGGTCCAGTTAAGAATTAACATGGAGTGATGAAATGAAAATTTAAAAAATGAAAGTGAGATTCTACTTTTTTGTGCATAATATTATTGTAGAATGAGGCTTTTAAATGTTTTCCTGTTTAAAAGTGTGTTTCAATGATATTTTATAAATTCTTATGTGGATATTGGAGCATTTATTATATCCGTGCAATAGCTGGGGCTCTGTAAACATTTCCATAATAAACTTCTCTGTATACTAGGGCTTAATAACTTGCTCATAAAAACGTGCTTTGGGCATAAAAGTGGTGTACTGGTCTGCCAGAAAGCTTGTGCTTTAAAAGTAAATAAGTTTATTTAAAGAGAGAATTTTAGAAGGAAACTGAAGAAAAAGTGTGCTGTACTTAACTCATTCCTGATAAATATTCGATCAATATGCTCTTTAATAAATTAAAAAAACACTTAACTGGACAAACTAGTTCAGTGCTGAGCTAATCTTTCTAGTATTCTTAAAGTCTGGACTTTTATTCTATTCCTACATAAAATGTTCATGCATGTAATTTAAATAAAGCGTTCCCTATTTTCAACTATGTCTCATAGGTTTGAGAACTTGCCTGGCTTCTTTAGATTTCTTTTTGCTAAATTCAAGTGGACAAAGGGGTTTGAGTATTTCTTCGTTAAACGTGTTTTCTCAGTCTCTGATAATTTCAGTTATTTCCTTCTGGAAAACCTCCTGTTAATCTACACATTTCCTAAAGAGTAGTGTCCAAAGGTGGGCACATTGCTTTTAGGCCTTTGAAGAAAGCAGGAGGATTATCCTTGTGTGTGTTCTGGGGTGATTCATTCTTTGATTTAGGTATCTATACAATGGCTACTGTATAGAGGATATTAAATAAAGTACTATTTAACAATTCCTTAATTGATCCTTTTGCTGGCTTGCTTGGGAAGAAGAAAGTGTCACAATAAACAGAAGAAGAAAAGATGTTTAGAAAGGAAATTAATATTGGTTTTTAGCATACCTGTTAGATATAAATTTGTGTAATATTGTCTTGTATCAGTTTTGGTACGCAGACGTGTAAAATACGCTTCTCTGTAAGATAAGATACCGATAAAAAGGCCTGTGATCGAATAATAGTGAAATAATTATTTAACTGTAAAACCTGGCTTACTTCACTGGCATTTTGCTGAAAACCAGGGTGACTGAGAACTGTTGATTCATATTTTAGTTTTCTATGAAAATTTTCAACATAAAGATTTGTTTTATTTTCCTGGTACTTCATTCCACCTGGAATTGGAGAAATAAGCTGAGGATTGTTTGTATTTTTACTAGCTGTGCCCCCACCCCCATGATTTTTCTGTTGCAGATTAACCTCAATGTTGCTTGTGGGATGTGTGCTCTCTGAAGCAGAACCACTCATGCAGGTTTGCTTTCCATGCAAAAAGCAAATCGGCACTGTATAAAACACATCAGTGTTGCAGGGTTTGTATTGCTGTCATGCTACCTGTGTAGTTTCACTAGCTCAAAACACCTTTGGCACACTGAAGTTCTTTGTTACCTGTTGCAAATGTGGGCCTGTAACATGCTATAAGAATCATACACTAGAGGGCTTTTTTCCTTTTCTCTACCAACATAAAATTAGCTAAAGCTATGTTGTGCTAAATGAGACCACCAGATCTTTGCTCGTCTCTGTGAGACATTCCCTTACTTAAAATATTGGACTATAACGAGAAATAGGAGAGAAAAACAGTGAAATAAGGTACATTCTGGCTTGCTATAAATGCTACGAAGTCCTTTTTTTTTTTTACTTAGCAATACTGTGGAGGAGCTGAGAAGTACTTGCTTCTCAAGGCAAATGTCAGAAGCCTAGATTCAGTATGTGTTTGCTTGTATGTTTGTTAGCTTTGAGATTCTTTAGGAAAAGTTCAATTTGATACTGTTTTTTTGACCTTTACATATATATGTATATTAATATAACAGCAGGTAACCAGGACATTTGGAGTATGGTCTGGAGTAACAATATATAAATTTAATAGAAAGTTTTGGTGTTTACTAGATTATGGTTTCAAATCAGTTGGGTTTCATGTAATACTGAGTTTGTGGCATTTTACAGTGAAGATCAAAATGAATATTTGTGTTGTGAAAGACATAGACTTTTTAGTAGGTATAAATCTTCGTACTTTCGTATTGACCTTGGGTGGATAGATAGGCACAAGGATATATATTCTGCAGTGTTCTTTTTGTCTTTGCTGTATATAAACTGAAATCCCTCAATGATATTTCCCATAGCAAGGTGTGTGAAATCAAATGAGAGACATAGTCCCTTGAAAATAAGGGTAAAAGAAAAAGAGAGTTGAAAACCAGCCAAATAGTGTGAGCAATATTTGCATATGCATTTTTAGCTATTGTAAATTAAAGCTTAATTTTCAGGTGAAGTGGAGTGAATCTGAAGAAATAAAATATGAGAGTCCAAATTTCCTGAATATCTCTTTCTTTTATATTTTAGCTGCATTATCGAGAAATAGAAAGCAATTGGCTTCTAGCGATGAAGTAGTTGAATGAAATCTGAAAGAAAATACATATACATTACATGTACATATTTTCTTTCTACTTTCCTACTTTTTTTTTTTATTCATTGCCTAGTACTCTAACAATGCTGAAAATTTCATATGTTCTGCAGATGACAGCTAACCTATTTGTATTTACCAGACATAAAATGTTGCCATTGTATTATTTAGTGGTGTTCCACAAACATTGGAAGGGTAACCAAGTAACTTTTCTTTTTCTGTTGTCTTCAAAGGGACATCAGAGATGGCTTCAGAAGAAAAAGCTTCTATCCTTCTCATTATATGAGAGAGCGATCCCCTCATAAGAGGGACTCTCCTTTCTTCAGGGAATCGCCAGGGAGCCGAAGGGATTCTCCACACAGCAGATCTGGCTCTAGTGTCAGCAGCAGGAGCTACTCTCCTGAAAGAAGCAAAGCCTATACTTTCCATCAGTCCCAGCATAGCAGAAGTATGTCATCTTTACATAAAAGAAATATTTCTTCTCAGCAAGGTAATGCTGGATTAATGACGAGAACTGGTTAGTGAGGTGAAACTGCAACTCACTGCATAAGCTCTTTTTCTTTACATGTTGTCTTTTACAATGAGAAACCTAGACATTTGTACCAATTATGTGTTGTCTGCTCTTCGGTTGTTTCACTGTACTTGCTGTTCCCTTACGTATGTCTTGTGGGACATTGTAGGTGTTATTTCAGTAGCAGCTCTAGACTGACTGTAGGAGTTTCAGCTGCACAGCTTTTTCTAGTATCATATGTTATTTTCCTTTTAGCATCAACTGCTTCTGTTACTTTTTTATGTTCTTCATTGGATTCCCTTACAGGAAACTTTGCTGTCATCTATAGCAGACGAAAACTTTTCTTTCTGCAACCAGGGGAAAAAAGGGATTAAAAATATTGGAAAAAGTAAAGTACACGCTGCTACTTTTTACATGTTCTGAAAATGTTCTTCGAACTGTATTATCAGGGTTTTGAAGCTGGTTGTTTTTAGCAATTTCATCTCATCGTTGGGTTCTCTCAAATCTTGCTTTCCTCAAAGAAATGTGAAATATATCTCAGTTAAGTCTATTCTGTGTATGTTCTGCCTTTTAAAGGCTTGGCTGTTAATCTTTCCCAGAAATCTAATGAATCATCGGTTCTGAAAATATTTAAAGTTTTCCTATTTAAATAATTTGCAAAAAAGGGCAAAATTGCCTTTTTTTAGTGTACTACAATTTTAGCCACTAGTGTTTGTACAGCTTATGTAAATTAATCCTATTTGATTTCCCTTTCTGCAAATGCTTTCTAGCGAACTATACAAACCTACTGTTGATTTTGGCAACTTTTAAGAAATTAATCAAATTTTTTTTTTAATTCACTGATAGGCATATTGTGTGCTTCCAGAGTGGCACACTCAACCATTGTGTAGCACTTTTTGCCAAAAAAAAATCTTGTGGAATTTAGTTAACATTGTTTAAATATAGAGGAATCATTTCCCTCACAACACATTCACTTGTAGAATACAAATTATCTTTCTAGTTCATTATTGCAATTTTTTTAACGTTTTGTGTCAATACGCAGTGAATATCAACTCCTATAAGTGTAGGAGAAAAGAGAAAAATGTGATATTCAGCTAAACTTGTAGATGTGTTGTAGATGTGCAAATCATAATTACCAGGAACAGGAAAAAATTGCTGTGAGAAACCATATAAAATTTTGGAATGTTTCAGGGTTTTCCTAAAATTTTGAGCTGACTTCTGTCACCTTTGTAGTATATATAATTACTCAAACAGTAGTGGAGGTAGTGAAGTAGAAGCAGACATCTTCACAAACCAGAAAAGATGCTTTTGGGATCTTTTTCCAATTTCATGGTTAAACACTTCTGCCAATCATCTTTAAATCAGTTTTAAGAGACCAGCTGGTTTTTACATTGGACTATTTCTTTATAACTGCCTGTTCGATGGAAAATAGTACTACTAAACTGTCCCTCTAGATGACTGAATTAAAACGGCCTATTTGCAAAGTATAAATGACTTAAATAATACTTTGAGTCATATTTGAATATGATCTGTCTTAGGTAAGCTCATGTATTACATATTTAAAAGGAACCTAAAGTGGGCCATATTTCCTATAGGTAAGCGGTACATTTTAGTCTGTACTTAAATGGATTTACAACATGTGAAGTGTATACTGTTTCAAGTGGAACTTATAATACATCATCTTTTTAAATATCATAATACTGTTTAAAGTCATGCTGTCTGAATGTTTGGCCTCATGACTTCCACTGAAGGAGGAATATCCCATGCTCTCCAGCCCTTCATAAGTTAGGATAAATATAGGATTTGAACAAAGAAAACTGGGGGGACGTACAGAAGATGGTAAGGGGAGGGAAAGGGCTGATGGGAAGGGACAGGCGTTTGGCCATGGTGGGAGGGCATGGAGAGAAGCAGCGTGGTATTCCTTCACCAGGCTGGTCGCTAAGGAGTCTGTAGTGTGGTATGCTGAGGAGATGCAAGAAGGCAAGTAGTGGTGCTTGGAAAGTGTCATGTTCGATTGTACAGGTAGGGCTTGTGGGTTCAACATAAACACACACGTTCAGAAAAAATGGCCTAATAATGTCTCCAAATTAAATGGTGGTTTCTCTCTCTGCTTAACTTTGAATAATTTGCTGCCTGAAATCAGCTTATTTCATCTATTCAAGTGCAAACATATAATCCACTCAACTGAGATAATCTTCAAGGAATCTACTGTGATGAAGAGGGCATGTAGGAGGCAGAGGTGGAATAGTTTGTAAATTTAAAAGGAGGTGGCTCACCCATGGGGCTGAAAAGCAGGTGTCACAGGAGCTAAACTTCTGTGTTACTTGGTGATGTCGAGATGTTCTGTGCTTTGGGGACTGTGGCAGATTAAAGACATGATTATTTCTATCTTCATGTTTTTGGTTTTGTCATATACTTTGTATTTATAGGAACTCTTAATTTTTCACAGTTTTTCTTCTTGCTATTTCTTTTCATTGTTAAAGAGCTTTTTTAGTTAAAGGTGATTTGTAGTTCATCTTTTGTTTTATGACTACTAGAAATTCTTAAATAAGGCTGCTTGCTCTGTTTTTAAGTGTGCTCTACATTTAGTATCATCTTCAAATCAAGGGTTAAGGTGCAATTTGGAACATTTGCTTTTGCCAGAGAAACTTCCCCAAGTATTTTCAATAGCATTTTTGAAAGACCCATGAGTAGCTGTGAAGATTTTTGCATGAATTAGTAGGCCTTCAACATTGTAGCAGTAACTCACTTGCCTTTAACAATGTGGAGAGATGAGCAGGTCTTTGCTTTGCGTTAAGTGTACACAGTACATACAGTATGAAAGTGTGGGGAAA